CTTTCCTTTGTGAATTTTCTGATAAACACATTACTCTTAGAAAAAGAATCAAAACTTATATTAAACATCCTATGTCTAAGTTTGTCTCATATGACTCTTTATCTCCCTCTTATAGAACTTTTATCTTATCTGTTTCCTCTGTGTGTATTCCACAAGATTGGAGATAAGTTTTACAAGATCCCAAATGGAAGGAAGCGATGATTGAAAAAATGAAAGCATTGACAAAAAATGAAATATAGGAACTTATTTCAACCCCACAAGAAAAGAAAATAATTGGTTGTAAATGAGCGTTCACTGTAAAACACAAAACAGATGGGTCGATTGAAAGATACAAAACTAGACTAGTGGCTAAAAGGTATACTCAGACCTATAGAGTTTACTATCAAGAAACCTTTGGACCTGTAGCAAAAATGAATACAATTAAAATATTATTATCCTGTTATCCTAATCTTGATCGGGATTTACACTAGTTTGATGTAAAAAATACATTCCTCCATGGAGACTTAGAGGAAGAGATATATATGAAAATTTCACCTGGATTCGAAGATAAAAGAACACAAGGGAAGGTCTGCAAATTAAAAAATGCCTTGTATGGATTAAAACAATATCCAAAAGCATGATTTGGAAAGTTCAGAAAAGTTATAATCTCTTTTGGATATCAGCAAAGCAATGTTGATTATACTCTGTTCATTAAGCATTATGAGGGTAAGATCACTCTTCTCATTATTTATATAGATGATATTGTATTGACTGAAAATGATACAAAAGATACGGCTCGACTAAAGAAACTTCTTACTCGAGAATTTGAAATTAAAAATTTAGAAAAATTACAGCACTTTTTTAGAATTGAGGTTGTCAAATCTAATAAATGAATCTTTATTTATCAAAGAAAGTATATCCTAAACTTATTAGAAAATACTAAAATAATGGGTTGCAAGCCCGCAGAATCCTCTATTAAAAGTAATCACAAACTACAAACTGACAGTGGTATATCAGTTGACATGGGAAGATATCAAAGATAGATTGGAAGACTCATTTATCTCTCACATACCATAACAGATATAGTTTATGCAGCTAGTTTGGTGAGTCAATACATGCATGATTATTGCAAGATTCATTTACACGTTATCTTTCGAATATTACAGTATTTGAAATCTACACCAGAAAAAAGTTTACTCTTCTCTAGAAATGATCATCTTAAGATAGAAGTATTTACAGATGTCAATCGGGCTGAATATCTAAATGATAGAAGGTCAACTACTGATTACTGCACACTCGTTGATAGCAACTTAGTTACATAGAAAAGTAAAAAGTAGAGTGTAGTTGCCCGTTCTAGTGCCGAAACAGAATATAAAGCAATGGCTCAAAGGGTATGTGAATTATTATGGTTGCAGAAACTAATGAATTAATTAAAACTGTTTAAAGAAAGAAATTTATCATTATTTTGTAACAATAAAACAACCATTAGTATTGCTCAAAATCCAGTTCAACATGATCAGACGAAACACATTGAGATTAATCGTTACTTCATAAAAAAGAAAGTGGTTGATAACTCCTTATACTTATATCATGTATCTTCTATCAATCAAGTGGCAGATATCTTCACTAAAAGACTCTGCAACAAAACTCTACAGAACTTGATATGCAAGTTGGGCATGTGTGATATTTTCGCACCAACTTGAGAGGGCCTAAATAATTGTAATATTTTTTCCTGTATATCTCTTACTATTAATTTTTTGTAATTATTTAGAATCTCTATTATAAGGAAAATTTTCTTATTTGTATTTAGAAATTCTTATATATATATATATATATGAGTCATTTGTAACACTAAAAATATAGTAAAAATAAAGTAAATATTTTTTTCTTAAATTTCTAGGAGATTCATTTATTGGCCTAAGTACAAACTGTGTGCTGAATCTCTTACCACTCCCCATATAAAGCCAGAGTCTCCAGTCAAATTGATAAGATCTTCAACTTTGTTTTCTTGGGCTTTAAGAAGTTCTCTCACCCCAGATTGAGTTAGTCCATCCACGTGATGCAACTGAAATACATCAAAATACGTCGTCAAGATCTGATGATAGGATCTGGGAATTGGAAATAGGATTCCAATTCTCAGGGTTAACCGATTCAAAATGTTAACATCAGAAAAATAAAATAGGTATTTGAATCAAATTACGTCTAAACTCACATTCTTCCCAATTCCAATTGAAGGAAGATTTGCCATAACACCTATATGACAGGCCAAGCCGAAACCTAAACAAAAAAGTTCATTATGTAAAAAGTTTTCCCCCGGCTGGGCAACACCTTTTTAAAGCAGTACAAAGAGCAAGGATAGCGGTGGTATTTCACATTGTTTCTACAATACATGCATGCAGAAAAAGCATTGTTATAAAAAATTTCATCTATAATACTTCATTTTCCCTGAAGAACTGAATTGCTCAGATACAACTATTCAAGGTAAACATACATTTGCGAGAAGTGAGTAAGAATTCTTTGCCTGAACTTTCAATTCAATACTTTCTCAAGAAATACATACCTCGAGGATGAAGTAATCCATTGCCATCAACTAGTAATACCTGTTGGCAAGAAATTTTCTTTTAAAAAAAACATGCTGGATTTGAACACTGAGAAACTGAACGCAGGAAAGATTTCGGAGCCCATAGAGTATGGAAAGAAATAAGCTTTTTGGAAATTTGGTGGGAGGCTAAAGAAAGCTAAATCTTAAGATGGAGTTTGCTGGAGTTGACACAACTTTTATATGGTGAAATACAACGTTTCTTTCGCACCAGCATGCATTAAAAAAATGGTCTTCGAACAATCACCTGTGGGTAGAAAGGATTCTGATTCTTCTTCATTTTATCCAAGAGCGGGAGAAGGACCGGGGCCTGAAATAAATATCATAATAAACTGAATAAAACAGAAATTTTTGGCCAATAATCCAGTGATTGCAAAGAAGTATTTGAAAACATAGATATCGTAGGCCTAGGCAACAGAACTAGTGAAATGAAAAATGATTATGACACAGGAACCTCGCGGAAGGCAAGGAAACCAGGGACATATGGGACTCGAAGCTTGACAAGGGAACAATCCTCGTAGACTACACGCAGGGAAGGAAGCTCTAGAATCACAAGGTATCCACATGCCACGGAGGGGTCTTGCTTTGAGAAGCTCATATCTACCCCACCTACATACTTTAATACCTCCTCTCCTTTTTCTGCTTGCATAGATGATGACGATGATGGCGATGACGCTTTCGCTGGTAATTTCCATGGAAAATCATCCTTTGTTATCAATTTCTTTCGCAGCTTTTGTTGGATCCTGAAAGATTATGACCATGATCAGTGAATGAGCGAGAACGAGATGCGTTTCAGATTAATCATCAGGAATGGGGGAAGGAAATTCGTAGCAAGAAATAAGCGATAGACGACGCAGCTAATAGGATTATTAGTTATCACATACTCTACCAAGCTATTCAGAGTTTCATCTGATCCTTGTCGTCCTTCCATGGAAGACCCCCAGCAGGAAAAGCAGCCAAAAAAAAGACATGCTTACTTTACTTTTCTAGCAGGGCTTGTCACTTGTGGGGTTTAGACTTCTTGGGCCTAAGCGGCCCAATAACCGCAATCATAAGCCCCCGAAATTCAAGCAAACCTTAGGGTTTGCAGCGGGTCGGGTATTTCGTGAAGCTTCGGATCCATTTTCTACAACTCTCTTCTCCCGGCTCGTTCCTGCAGGTTTTCGCAGTTGCACTCCTCGGTTACGAGTATAATATAAAATACAGACACAGCGTCTCTCTTTCTTCTTCTCACTTACCTTCTTTCTCTTCCCTCGAAGCACACATTTGTATTCTGGAGAAAGAGGTCGTATCCACCAAATTCCTTCATAATTGAATTTCAATCTCTTTTTTCTGATACTTTGTGCAGCTAAATGGAGGCGGGCAGGGAGGAATCAGCCAACCTAGGAGAAGCGCCAGCGCAAGCCCAAGGCGAACCCCAGGGGAGTGCTGCTAATCAAAACGTGGAACCTCCACCTCCTGAACAAGGAGACAACGTACCACCACAATCTGAAGGTGGAGATGATGCAGAAGATGAGGAAGACGACGAAGAAGAAACCAAGAACGAAGATGACGAACTTATTGAAAAGGCTCAGAAGCTCATGGAAAAGATTACTTCCTCTCCCGATAACCCTAATCCTACCGTCCTTCATGCTCTCTCCTCCCTCCTCGAGACGCAGGAGTCCCTGTAAGTTTCTCCCTCTATTTTATCTCCCCCGCAACACGTGATCAATAATAAATTTGCTGTTACTTATATTTAATTCGACTGGCCAAAGCAAATTCGCTGTTAGGTTTACTTAGAAGCTGACACTTAGTCGTTTCCCGTCACCTACCCCTTTTACTTAAACATAGTTTCTCTGACTTCACTTCTGCTTTGAGTCTTTTGGTACTACTATTATTTCTGTGGTACGGCATTGAATTATTTAATTCGATTATCGTCTTGGACATTTAGGTACTCCAAGACCCTCTGGTGGTATTCTCTTAAGGTTTATCATTGTCCATCACTAATTTACTTGCCTCTGTATCCTTCCTGTTTGCATTCTGGTTTTTGTGGCTTCTCCTATGAGAGAAAGAGTGATATTGTTGTCAATTCTGTTGTTCATGCTCTTTGCTTCCCTCTGCTCAGCTTCTGGGGAATTTTCAGATCATATAGAGAGCCTGAATTCAATTCTCAATAACATCATCCAGGTTCTTTCTTACCTGACAGTAAGGATCCTGGAATGGATTTGCATATCCTAGGGTTAGGATCAATTTTTGTTAAGGATGCATGTAATTTTATTGTGATTAAATGGTATATCGTGTCAGCTCTTTTGTTTAATAGAGCTGATGATTGTAACCCTCGTGGCTGATCTAATTCCTTTCTCTACACGTTTGTTGTGCATCAGTTGCTGTTACTCTTTTTTTAGGCTTCTAAAATGCTTCTCAAAGGTTCTTTCTAAGGAAAAGGTTTAAAAGTGATTTTATTGTTTTTATTGCATTTATCTTATTGTATACACTGAAATCCTGGCTAATGTTCTTCAGAGTGGAGAATAATGGAATAATTTCATTCTAAAGTTTTAGGCTCCATTAAGTAAATAAAACTATTTTGACGTTTTCATTTTGTAATTCACATGTTTTTTTAGAGTAAAACGGAAAATGTATGAATAAGGCGCCTTCGATTGTAACTCATTTGCAAAAAATTATGAGGAGAAAAGATAAAAGGAAAATCAATAATATCCACGTAATCTACCATAGGACGACCCTTAAACCAGTGATTTGACAGAGGCAAAAGATAAGAGTATAAATTCTCAAAAGTCTTGCAATTCCTATATTTCTAAGTGACCAAAAACATAGAGGGGGAGTGAAGGATAAAAAAATTTCTTGTGCTTGGAGGAAGGAATGGACTCTGGGTCTTTATTTTCTAAATTCATATATTTAATTTGGTGAATATGGTATGTGCTTTTTGAATATGTAAACTATAAACAGAATAGTTTTCTAAAAGACACTATTTTTTTATTTTTTTTGAATGCACGTACGAGTAGTTGTATACTTTAACTAGTATTTACATTATCATCAATTGGTCATCGTTTTCTCTGCCAATGACACCTCAATTTTTTTTTAATGGGAAAGTCTACTCCTTTGATCTAGATTCTTCCTTGTACTCGTATAAGGGAAGCTTGTAACTTTCATTAACTGCAGGTACATAGCAGAGAATGGTCAGTCCTCCAGCAATGGTCGTGCCTCTCACAATATTGGGCGTCTATGTAACCTAGTTCGGGTAACATGATTTGTTCTCGTTTTGTCTACTTCAATGTGCTTGAGGTCACATTTTGGTGAGCTTTGATGCGGTTCATAATCTGGTACACATTTCTTATCTTCATCTGCAGGAGAATGATGAATTTTTTGAATTGATATCATCGAAGTTTCTTTCTGAAAGTAGATATTCAACCTCCATCCAGGCAGCTGCTGCAAGGCTTATTCTAAGCTGTTCACTGACTTGGATTGTACAACTCCTATATCTTTTTCAGTCATACTTTTCATTTTTTTACTATTTCATTGCATATTTATTAGCCTGGTGAAACATTGGTTGCAGTATCCTCATGTTTTTGATGAACCTGTATTGGAGAAGATTAAAGGTTGGGTGATGGATGACACTACCAGGTTCTCGGGCGAAGATTTTAACTGGAAACATGATTTAGGAAAAAGGGAAGCCTCAGATTCTGAAATGTTGAAGACATATTCTACTGGGCTTCTTGCTATCTGTTTGGCAAGGTATGATCCTGCATTGTTTCATTTTATCATTAGTTTTGGTCTTTGTTAGCATTTCAGCATATCTTATTGTTGATCTCTTGATGGTCTCAGTGGTGGTCAATTAGTGGAAGATGTATTGACATCAGGGTTATCAGCAAAACTTATGCGTTATCTTCGGATTCGAGTCCTTGGTGAGACAAGTCAAAAAGATGCCAACCATCTAGTAGAGATTAAGAATGCTTTTGTTACTACTTTAAGAGGTAGGGATGAAGGTCGAGGTAAGGTGCGGCAGCTTTTGGAGACAACTCGTTTGGAAGATTCAAGGATAACAGATGAGAGAGGTTCAGCTGATCAATTAATTGAAAGGGATCCAGAGAGGAACATTAGTCTCCAAGCACCTGGAGATGAGTGTTGGATCGGAGATGGAGAACCACCTGATGGGTTGGTGGAAGGGATTGAAGTATATGGGGTGAATGCTGATGGTGAAGACAGATGTCATGGTTGGGATGTCCATGATGGGAAAACAAAATGGGGGATTTTGACGAAAGTGGAAGA